TTTTCCTGAAGCGAAGATTGATTTTCCTGCAGTTCTTTTCATGTTTGCCTTTGGGTTCTTTTGAATGACGATTGCTCTGAAGCAGTCCTGCCACTGTCTCTGGCAATGCATTAGTTGCTTTATTGTATCCACCTTCCGTGTGCTTGAACTGAAGTCACAGGTATCTTCCCAGCAAGTCACGCCTCCATATCTGAAGGGCGTGGTACGGAGCACAGATTTCCTTTCGTAAGTATTTGAGGCAACTCTCTTAGGCATGCACTGGAGAGTGCACTCCGCTGGTGTCAGCCCATGCCTATCATCTGTTTGCGGCATTGATCAGACGCGGAGCGTTTGCTTTGGCGAGCCCACCACAGTGCACCCCAGGTCAGGAAATCAATACTCTATTGATTCCGGCTCGAGCAATTAAGAGAAGACTAGGAAGGCACAAAGCTGAAAATCAGCTTCCTCCGCCAAGCCCACAAACAAGGCTAAGGTTTAGGGGGGTGAGCTGCATGACAGGTAACTGTCAAGTGTGGGTCTCAGGGCAGTCGCTCTGCACTGACCCCTATTCTGTACATGGTATCCTTCTTTTTCTTGGTGGTCATTTTCGTGTTCTCTTACCGACGGATGGGACTGCAAAACCAAGTACCATCTCAGATGGTAAACTATTGAAGATGTAGAATGAGACAGCATTTCTGACTCTTCCTTCTGCATATAGAATGTTATGGGATGGGATGTCTCTCACGCTCTTGAGAGATTCTGATGATGACATCCTCGTTCTTGACAATGATTTCTAGCACAACTGAAAGTTCTAACATCTTCATGCCGACGTGCAGTCTTCTTGCCGCCTTCCAAAAGCCGTAGTTTTGAGTTGAGCCTTTGTCCAATGTAGTTTTTACTACTTATCCATTGACTGTGACGTTAACGAGGGTCAGTTTCTGCGGCATACTGCGCATCCACACGGGTCTGCAAGGCCCGACCAAACAAGGTAAGCAAGGGCCTACAGGCCCTGTGTCGTTTTCAGCCTAAAAGCTTGAAAACAAGGGCCTACAGGCCCTGTGTCGTTTCAGCCCGAAAGCCTGAAAACGAGGGCCTACAGGCCCTATGTCGTTTCAGCCTAAAACACGGCCTTCCAGGCCCTGAGTCTTTTCAGCCTGAAATGGAGGGCCATTTTCAGGCCCTCATAAGATCGACCTGCCCTTAAACTCAGGCACCAGACCAGGGTTTTAGCACATGCCATTTTTGGCCTGTTTTCAAGACAGCCCTTCTTTGAACTTCAACGCCAGGGTCTGGCACGTTTTGGCACTGGCAAGAGCAGCCTCCTGGATGGGCCAGCACTATATAAGACTGGCCCGCCCTGCAGGCTGCAGGCAGTCAGAGGCCGAGGCAGTAGTAGTCTTCAGGATTCGGCAGCAGCACTCTGGAGGAGCGCTGCAGGAGTAGCTTAGGGCTAGCAGTAGTCTTCAGCGCTGGGCGCTAGTAGCAGTAGCAGTAGTCTTCAGCGCTGGGCGCTAGTAGTGGTAGTAGTAGTGTTAGAGAGAGATGGCTGGCGGAGGCCAGGGAGACTTACCTGTGGCGCCATAGTTCCAGCTTCATCTTCAAGGTACCTGCATCAAGGCACCAACTTCACAGGTTAGTACCGGACTCTGAGAGAGAGAGAGAGAGA